AATCTGAAATCTGTGAGGCAGAAATTAGGTACGCATTAAATAATTTAGTTTCAAATGTCAACGATCGATTTTCATGATTTATTAATTAAAATCCAGATTTACATCAATGTTTATTTTTTTTTTAGTTTGTTTATTGTTTCATAGATGAAAAGTACTCAAAAAATCATAGAGGAAAAGCTGAATTTGAATTAAATGAAAACAATTTCAATAATTTATTAGCAACCATAAATTTGGTGGTCACACTCATTTCAATTTTAATTATTTTCAGCAGTTAAAATAATATTAAATAATTACATGAATACTTATGCAGTTATTTTGCCGCAATTTTTACCCAGAAACCACGTGTTGACAGTTGGACAAATCAGCCCTGCTCTCGTTTTCCCTCACCTGCAGCCAAACAGGCGCGGCACACCCGCCGAAATTGCAATTATATCAAATTCACCGCGGCTGTTTGCGTGTAGGCAACACACAGAGCATTGCTCGCTTTCTAATTAATATTTAACGCAACTGTTTACTTTGCAGGCGTATTTTTGTGTGCTCAACCCACGTATACATTATATACGGGCAGGTTTGTTTGGCCAAAAAATTGAAAACGCCGAACGCAGCCGAGGCCATTTTCTCTTACGTCCGCGGGCATTGTTGGTTTTGCTTATTTACAAGCGAGCGGCCCAGACGGAAAACTAGTACGACTTGCTTTTCCATTCATTCGAGAAAATCAGCTTCGGGCGATCGGAAGTAAATGGAAAAGAGGAGCTGCGGGTGATGCACGTCAACCCCTTTTTACCCGACGTCAAGGGCGTAATTTATTTATCGGCCGAGGCCATCACGCGGCGCATTAATGAACAACATTTTGCCGCGAAATGTCACTTCTGGGACCGGCTCATCAATGCGCCTCACTCAATTACGGCCGATGGAAAATATAAGTGCCCGCCCTGCCTGAGCTCGCTATGTTTATTACGCAGCGCCCGTCTCTGACCCGCCGGGAATTTTTCACCTGCTGCAGCCAAAGAGACGCTCTGAGCACTCGTTGCATATTTTATCTCTGGAGATAGATAGATCTGGGTTAACCCAGGTTGAAACTTGTCACGTGTCGCTTCACCGAGCGTTTTGCTATTTTTAATGTCGGATTGATCGGAAGTAATGGTTCTATGCGGCGTTGTTTTTACTCGGAACACATTTTAAGTCGCCAAAGAAAAAGATGTCGGATGCTTTTTTTGTCCTGCCATTCTATTTTTAAATGCTAAAATTTTTTGTTAGTCAGTGTAATTTTAACTTCACAAATATTCTTGCTTAATAAACCAAAATTATAACATAGAAGGAGAGAAGATGTTTTTGAACGAAAATATAACCACAGACCTAATTTTTTATTGTTGTTATTCTTACTGTAAAAGTGAATGAGTTAAAAATTGATTTGACGGGACTGTGAATTGTTTGTACGAAAATTAGAACACCAATTATTTTTCTATGGATTTATTTTTAAAGGATAGTTCAAATTTAACTACAAAAATATCAGGCAAAAAATTTGTGGGTTGTTGAAAAAATAGCGCATATTAAGAGTTTATCCATACTTCAAATACACTGAATTATATTATACGGTTTTATCCTTTAATCAATTTAAATGTTCAATATTAATTCAATTATAAAGAGCATCGTTCAAGAGATAAGGAGTTTTATATTTAAAGGATGTCATAAGTAGCAACGATTTTGACTAACCAAATTATTTATAAAATTACAAATTTATAAAAATTTTCCAATGATTTAAATGATAGATCAGACAGAAATGAAATATTTAAATTTAATTTAAAAAAATTTATTAAAAATGGTCATTTTATTAAAAACTATAAAATTTACTATCAATAAATTTAATAATTTTAATAATTAAAAAAGTGCCTTAACTCTTATTGAAACTTGTTTATGAAAAGTAATTAGGCCTCTTGATTTATCTCTCATCAAAGGAGACTGCTTGCTTTTCACTATGAATGAGCCAATCTTCCGAGACCATCAAAACGAGACTTGGTGTTGGTCCTTAGATTCGGGTGTCCTTGCGTAGATAGAAGTCGTTTCGGGTTACGTCGGTAATTAATTGCCGGGCAGCGACCGCAAATGCACCTGCCGGAGTCGCACCCACACACACGGTGGAAGCGACTGCGGAAGAAGCAGGTTAATTAGGCAAATGAGCCTTCAAGGCGGATTTGCTTCTTATCCGCCGGCTGCGCGCGTCTCGTCAGATAGCATCGCGGTGCTTTTGACGGCTGCCTAATTTTCTGCGCCCATCACTGCAAACGATAAGCTTGATTTTCTGCCGCGCGCTGTAATTAATTTCCAGAGGATCAGAACGATTTTCGCGTGTTGCACACGCCAAATTAATTTTCCCGCGAGAAAGCGCTTCTCGGATTTGATTATTTATTCATTTGCTGGCTGGTGAGGTGTTTTACTCAAGATGAAAATGGGCTGCTTGGCAGTTTAATTTATCTAATTATGCAGTCATTATTAATTAAATAATTAATTTATTAAAGTAAAGTCAATTTACTTTGCACTTGAGCGATGAAATTGTAAAATGAATATCATATCTTTGTTTATTACACCGAAAAGAGGTAAAATGGTCTTATTTTCGCCAAAGGCTGCGCATCCCAAAATTATGTTGGTACACGGCTGCCGTCAGAGCCATGGGGCCTTATGGCTCGGGCGGAAGACATCTTTTTTTTTGGCCAACATAATAGAGCTGATGCGTGGCCTTTGATTTTCGCTACATTTTTTTTTTTTTAATTTTAACTTAATTTTAAGAATTATTCACCTTTTCGAATGGAGTAGAAACAAAATGAGCCTGTCATAAGCCGCCTATAATTAATATAAATTTTAAAGGAGAAAATCCCATTTTTTTTCAATTAATAATAATTTGTCCTATGAACTTATAAAAATGCTGTAAATGATGTATTTGGGCAGAGAATGCCCGGTGGTACATTAATAAACACAATTTGTAACTAAATCTGCAATAAAATCAATAATTATCAAGCAAACTATCAACAGATATAAAAAAAAAATCATTCAAATTAGCCACAAGGAGATTTTATCAAATATTTAATTAAAAATATTTATTGAGAAACAAAAATTATATTTTAAGAAAATCTTGCAAAATGAATTACTAGTAATTAATAAAATGAATAATTTAAACAAAAATGCCGACCTTTTTGTTGAATAAAACGTAGAAAGACATACTCGACACAATTAAATAATGTTCCCGCAAAGTTTTCAACTTGACTTCGGCCAAAGTTTTCTTCCACACACGAGAGGAAAAAGAGGCCGCTTTTGGCCCGAAACGCCGGCGGAAAACTTAATCAGTTAAAACGGAGCGATTCCTGATTCGCCGCTTGCGAATTCTGGGGCGCCGAAAGTTAGTGCGCGTGGAGTATGAGCAAGGCAGGAAGGAAGGAAGGGTATACGTGCTTACTCTTGTTTGGCTGAATAAACACACGAGGAGACGAACGCGCGCGAGACGAGGGCGAGCTCAAGTGGTGCTTTCGTTTCCACCTCGGCAGCCGCCGGCAGGATTAGCTGGCCCGCTGCTGCCACGCCGCTGGATTATTGCATTAATTATTTACAACTACCTTTCTATTGCCGCCATAATAGCGGCACTGCTCCAAAACAAATGGCTCCAGACACTTATTCGGCGGCGGCAAAGAAGAACAACACACAAACGGTGTCGACGTCGCACGGTGCTTTATTAAAATCTAAAGTCGCGTCTCGCCTGCCAGCTACACCGTGGCCAAATTAGGCACAGATTTTAAACGGTTATTGTTATAAAAATATAAACTTACATTTATACAATTTAAGTTAATATTTTATATACAAATTTATTATTTCACTATAATTATTGTGCCATTTATTACTATTTTAAATTTTATTATTAATGTTAATTTCAAACAATTCTAATATTGATATTATAAAATTTTTATAATCGGACTTGCAGTTATCCTTATGAAAACTACATTGAAATTTTCACAATTTTACTATAAATTTTATTTCACCAGTAGTTAGATTAAATTTGATAAAAAGAAAAAAACTCGTTTAGTCTGGGCTTCAAAATTTTTAATTACTTAAATTCTGATGATTAAAATTAGATGTATATGTATTGAATAGAAATATTCTGCAAATAAGAAGTTATATCAGCGGCACGTCTCGCGAAACTCGAAAGTCGAGGTTGAAGTGTAAAGTAGGCAACATGTAGGTCACAGATGTCGAGATGTTTGCCTATGCCAAAATTATTACTGTTAATTTTTTTCAAATGTTAAAACACGTATAATTAAATATTAAATTTAAACGTTAATTTTTGATAAGTTATTATTGAATATTTGGAAAAAGGCGAAGATTTTGCTAAAACTCTTAAAAAAAGCTCCACCGCATTTATCATAAGAAAATAAATTACGTATTTTTTAAATCCAACTTTTGCATCCCAATCCCTGGCTTTATGAATTATGGAGTAATTTTTCTGCAACTAATTTATAGGCAGTGTATAATCAACGCTGCAAGATAACTATTTTGGAATAGCAATTGAAAGATAAACTAGCTTTAGAAAATCTGAGGATTTAAGAAATTAAATTTGAAGCAGGACCGTGGAAAAAATCGGAAGAAAGTCATTCGGCTATCCAATTACACAAACGGCGCATTCCCCAATTCCAGGCTGAATTAATTTACGCCGGGAATCTCGGAAATAAGAGCGCATCTGCGTCTCCGCCGCTTCGTTAGCAGACGCATCCCGACATCTAGGCGTGCACTACGGACGAACACGTTGTGCTTTTTTCTTCTTTCCGCCCAATTAGCATCCGCACCACATTTTTAATGACATCTCGCCAGACTCGGAGCTAATTTTTTTAATCAGGTTTGCCGGCTGTTTTCGCGCGCGCGGCGAGCCAATTAGTCCCGAGGATAAGATATTAAGTTAGCGCCACTCCGGGGGGCGCAGGCAGCAGTTTATTATTTTTTCATCCTGTGTGTGTTATGTAATCTGTTGGAGTCTCATCCGCCGGCATGCTCCCTAACGGGCCCCTCGGGACTTACCATCTTCTTCTTCTTCTCCTTTTCCTCTCTTTCTTCCTCACTCGGCCTGCAACAAAAACACACACGCTATCAGCCGGCAGATCACAAATCAAGTGCAAACTTTACTTGTTAACTCGGCGCACACCTTTAATTTGCCTGCTCGAATAAATTCTCGGCGCCGCCGACTTGCAACGACCGCGCGTTTTTCTCACTCGAGATGTGCACCGCGCCGTTGTATCACAAAACTGCAGCTCAGGTGAAATAAATTATGAATTTAGCAAGTATGGGTGTGCGTTTTGCTACTCCCCGAGCTGTTGAAAACGGAAATTAATTGTACAAGCTTCTTTATGTGCTAAAGTAGAAAAGGCAGGGCAGATTGGATGAAATTTCTCCACTGGCAATTGTGTGAAATGACCTAGTTTGTAAAGATAAAGAAACACTACAGATTGACTTGCTTAATTAATTGCAATTTTTTTATTGTAGTGATTAAAAAAAGAAGGAGGGGATTTCAAAAAATCAAATAACTAATAAAATATTAGTTTTAAGTAGAGTTTAAAATGTTGTAATTCAATATTTTGTTGCACTGATTTTAATTAAATTTTTGAAGTCTTAAAACACTTCAAATAAGTCAATTTTTTTTTAATAAAGCATTATATATTTAGTTGATAAAGAAAGAAAAGTCCAGTCAGAGGTCGTTAACTTCTGAGGTATTTTCAATCAAAACCTGTGTTGTGGTTCTTTAAGATTTAAGAATAATTTTCAAAGGAAAAAATCAAATCATACTCTGGCGGATGGGGTCTTTTTGATCTCAGGAGATTTATAAAAGTCTCTGTTAGAACAACTATTGAATAATGTTTCCCTCCCTAATTTTTTGTTAATCAATCTAAATTTTTTTTTCAACAATTTGGCCTAATGAAACAAACCATTAAGTGAAAATTGATGGTCAGATAGTCCTTGACATAGATTTTATAGAGCATATTTTAGTCTCATCACCTACACTGATACACAAATATAAGCTGATAGATAGAGCGGGAGATGTTAATGGTGTTTCGCGTGTGCGCTGTCAAAACGACTAATTAATCGTGTTCACCATGTTTGTTTGTTTGTTACAGATGCCAGCTGCATTGGCTGGGACCAGTGGTGGACATATGACGGAATATCAGGTGAGTCTGTCTCCATTTGCAATTTTTCAAACTTAACCTCCGATGGCATAAAAAATAAATCTCTTTCCAAAGCTTTGCCCGAACCTGAATAGAAGTGAGCGTTTTTATATCGGCGACCTTTTCAATTATACGGTCCAATCTTGATTTTCTGTTTGGGAAATCCCGTCACAGAGAGAGATGGATTGAAAAGATTACCGCGCATGTGATTATCCTTTCATCTTTTCATACGCCCCGCACGCATGCAAACGTGAAAAGGATCGAGAGAAAGGAAAAGAACGGAGCTGCGGTCTCTCGTCGTCTCAGGGGTTATTATTTACACCTGGGCTCGACCTGAGCGCATTGATTTTCGCGTGTAATCGCCCGAACGTGCTGCGACTTGAAAACTGCACCTTAAAAATTATTACCACGGCGCAGAAGGTCCTAATTCGCGTTTAACAGATTGTTACCTACTTAACGCCCCAAATGCAAACGACGCCTCTTTTAATGGAAAACGGCAGGTTCATTTGATATTTTGCGAGGAGAATAACTCGCACCTGGTCGGTTTAATGCGTATTAGTGGCAATAAAAGTAGCGGTCCCGACCAACCGACCGGCGTAATTGCATCATTTCGCTGCGAAAGAATCCGCGCGCGTGTTTTTTTTTTCACAGGAAATAACCCAGACTGTTTGCGCGCAGTTATTCTAAAATTTTATGGATCGGAAAGAGAGAGAGAGAGAGAGAGAGAGAGAAAAAAAAATTACTCCTAAAAATGCCGTATATTTGACGCGGTCATGTTTAAATTGTTTCGAGCTATAAATGTAACAGTGTAGAATTTTGAAGTAGCAAATTTACAAATTTTTTTCAAAATTCAAAACACAATCCCACCTGTTACAAGCGTAATATTCTGTGCTCCATACAAAGTACTTAAATTTTGCAAAAATTAATCAACCAGTTGCAAATTATTTTTATTAATATCAAATGCATTTTATTGCTCTTTATTTTCATTAATAAATTCTATTTTTAAATTTTTCAGCTCTTTTAAAAATCCAGAGCACTTTATGTAGACTATTATAAGACCTAACATTGAAATTTCAACCAATAGCAATTAAATTTGATAATTAATTGTTTTTATCATTCCAATCTGTTCGTCATATTTTACGCTTTCTTATAATTTTGACTGACACCGAGAATATAAAATATTTTTTATTTAACTCATTATTATTCTTCTCATTGTCAGTTGAAAGTAATAAATAATAATAATCAATTTAAATTTGCTTCCAATTAAATCTTGCTGAACACTAATGATGTTTCTGTTAAGTCACCAGAAATAAAACATCCTTTTGGATTTTTTTTTTTTATTTGGAAAATCACTAATTAATCAGAGTGATCTCTAAAAAATTTATTGTGAAATCCACCTTGACTTAATTTTTATTTTTTCACGAACATAAAAAAATATGTTTTAATTTATATCTCATGTCTTGCAATGAAATTAATAACTTTCTACAAACGATCTATTTTCCATTAGAACGTAATCAATCAAAGCAACGTCTTGCGCAACTTAAAATAAAGACGTAATTAGGGCCGAAGTGGAGTGCAAACAGAATATATTTTGAATGATGAGCGGCGGAAACGGGTCGAGACGGGGCTGGTCTTCACCGCCCCATTGTAGGCTTTTTCGGCCGCTCGCGCTCTCGCGCGCGATGGCATAATTGATGGGGGTTGATGGACCTCCTGTTCCTTCCTCCGATGCCCGCTCTCAATATTTCATGTCCACCTGCACTCGGCACGTTCGCTTAACAAGACTATCTATTGCCCCGAAACATGCGAGCCGCAAGACGAAGAAGAAGAAACACACCGTGGCAGAAAAGCTGTCTTATCTGGCGCAGGCAAGAGCATTTGTATTCAAATTCGCCGTGCTCTTATCGCGCGGTTCGCATCGCAGATTGGCCATCTCGGCACGAGAATTGAATCCGGCCTAGAGAAAGCCAGAAGGCAGCGAGCGGCAAATTAAAAATGCAAAGAGAGAAAGCGGCTGAGAGAGAAAGATGGCCAGATAGACACCGCAGTGCCCGCCGCCGATTTACAGCCCCGAGGGCGCGCATTGCGGAGGAAAAATAAAAATGGCGACCGTGTCGAGCGGGACACGTATGTGTGTTCGACAATTACTCGCCATAATGACGTGCCGAGACGATCCATGCATAATGCCTGAATTTAGCTGCGCCGCACGAAGCCGACCATATTTCCCGGGCAAATCCTTCTTTCCCACGTCGACCTTTCGAGAAGGATCATTTAGAGAGATGCGCTTCATAGATAGAAAATATACTCAATTCAATAAATGTAGATAAGCCGATTCATCTAATTTTATAGTCAATAATTTGCTCAACAATTTCTGTATTGGATATCCCTCATGGGATGCAAATAGTTTACAAAATCATAAAGGCCTTTAATAATTATTTTATTAGCATTAATTTACTAGTTTTGAAGCTTTTTTAGGTAATCTTTTAAATATGATATTTTTCTGAAAATAATCGATTTTATGTAGAATTTAAATAAAAAAATGTGATGTTAAGAAACAAAAATAAAATTAAATTGTTTAAATTGTATGAATCTATTTATAAATCTTCAGGTTTTATTTGTAAATTTTATTAAATGGAGAGAAAAATTATTTTTTTAGCCATGAGGCTCAATTTGTTCCAGTACTTTCTAAATTTCTATGCCATCAGCAATCAGCAAAGACAACATTAAAAGAGTTTGACATCAGCCTTTTTTGGGAATCAAAACTAACGAATCATTTTTGTTGAAACAGAATATATGACGATTTTGCGCTTTAACAATCTTTGGGAAACACCAAACAAACCTCAAAACTTTGATGTGACGTCTCTGTGAATTAGGACGATTTGTAAAGGAGATGTTCTGTTGGAAAAAAAAATTAGCAGAAATCTTTATTATGTCATTTATATCAGCTGGCAAATGAAGCATAAGTTGATTCACATCAGTTGATTTTTGTACTTGCAGACTTTGGAAGAATTAAATTAAAAATTTCAACAGCATATTTTAAAATTTGGAAATTTTTGAAAATAAAAATAGCTCCTTTTGAAAGTTTTCAACACTTGGTATTTCAAACTATGTAATAAAGAGCAGGAAAAAATAATTTCGGCTCTGTTCATTTCCCGTCGACGCATCTCTGTCAAGTTTTGCTCTCCTCAGGCGTGTGTGTGTGTGAAAAATTCAAATCTGCACCCCGACCACCCTCGCCGCGCACGATTTATCGGGTGATTATTCGTTTCATTATATGGCGACGCTCTCGGCAGGTAATCCGGATGATTTATAGACAAGGAGCTGCGCCGCGTGACAGTTCGCTTGCAGAGGAACGTGCTTTCTGTGCGGCGGGCCGGTCAGCAGCTGCTGCGAAAAATTGGCCATTATTGCAGATGTATCGGACATTGGTGAATTTATTAGGCCGGCAGTCGAAACAGATACACGGGGCGCGAGTGAACGCGCGGGCGAGAGATTAATTCATTTTGAATAAATCCACGTCATCCGCCAGCCTGCACACTCTCACTCACCCGTCCGTCCGTCGCTATACATGACGGCCATGCAAATTCAAAGGGCATCATTGATTTTTGAGCACTTAAATTACGGACACACCCGGCATTTATATATTCGCTCTGTGAAAAGTGTGCGCCAGAGATATCGCACTTTTTTATTCATTCGGCGCGCTCGGCTGCTCTCATTCGCCCACGGTTATTCTCGCTCGCTCGCACATGTGCTCTAATATTTTTATATATATTTCCAATGCCGTATATTTAATCCTACTTGATGTGCAGCTTAATCAACTTCATCAGCATTTTTAGATTGCACCCGAGCGATAAATGCAAATTCGCCCCGCGGCGCTAATGCCGGATTGATGCGTCTGCCGGCGGAATTGGGCGCATATGCAATTTGCACGAATTATTTCAACTAGCACACGCGGCCCGTTATTAATCCGGCCACCGGAATCAAATATTTACCGTCTGCGCCGTTCGTTTTATTTGCGCACCATCACAACAAAATAAAATACTCCGTCGCAAATTCAATTTTCCGCAATCGGTAAAGGACCACTTTTTGTGAGTTATAATTTATGAAATTTTCAAAATAATTTCCCGTATTGATAAAATTTGTAAATCAATTTGATTCTGTTTCTAGTTATAATATTACGAATATTACATACATTTTTATTTTTTACATATTAAAAAAACGATATTCCAAGACATATGATACTTATTTAGGCTTTGGAAAATTACTTGTCTTTATTCAGCTGTTTGAGATCCAAATTGGTGAATAAGTAATTGATATTTTGTAATTCGAAATTAAGCCCTTATGGATGTTTTTGTGATCATTTTTTGAAATAGGTAAAAATTGCTATTTTTCTAAAAGAAAATTAAATCAATTTTAGGTGAATAATTCTTTGAATATAACTTTGCTGCTTTTTTAATCCTATTTTCTTTGAGTAATATTAATTATTGAAATGTCTTAAAAAATATTTTAATAACATCACATGAAACAAAAAAATGGTAAATATCTTTATATTTAGTTTCATATTTAAAGTTCATCGATGTATCACAAATTCAATAAATTACAAATTTGATCAGAGATAGATACATAAAAATATGCAATGAAAATCCTAAAATTTACATTTGAGTGACAATAATTCTCAAAAGCATGAGCTCCTTGCTGAAGGAACCATACAGCTTTACATTTCACTCGGCTTATCTTCATTTGTGTCCACTTGTTAGATGCGTTTGTTTCCGCGTATCCCTGTAGGGACCTATTTTCAAAAGGCAGCAAATTTCAATTCTGCGTGCTGCTATTTGACCGCAAATGACCACGAACCTAATAGCTTTTCAAACAAACTGTCAGCGTGTATATGTATGTATACTGCGGGTGTGATACGCAACCTCAAGCTTCACTCACTCTCCCACTAAGCGGCTTGTTCTAAACAACTTTGGTCCCTTCCGGCGTGACTAAATCTGAATGCCTCA